CCCTTTGGTGTTGGCTTCGTTGGATACTCTTGCCATATGTCTGCCATGCACTACTCCACTGTTGACAAATATCTCTTGGATCGGAGGAAAATGTTCTTCGCCCTTCAGAGCATCTTTATATTTTCCTTCAGGGTATTGTTCGAACTGGACTATCCCCTGGTCCATTAGCCTTTGTAGAGCTCTTTCGAAAGCTTCATTGTGTCCTAACGGGAGTCCGCATTATTGGTTAGAATCTATAGGGTATGAGATGCCCCTGCTTTTGGTGACAGTAGGACAAATCCTTCAGTTTCAGCTTCTTGTTGGGCCATGACGGACTTTGGGATTCCTGCATCTGGCTCTTTCCTTAGTTGGTGACCGCTTGATGCACCAATAGTCTGGGCTACTTCTTCAAAAGTTGCCCTGGGAATCTGGTCTTTCCTATCAATGATGTTCTTCAAATCTAGGAGAAATTGATTCAGATCTCCTTTAATTATGGTGACGTCACCTTTTACTTGGTCGAGGTCCTCTTTGAATGCAACATGCGTTTCCTTGATTTGCTCCATTGCTTTTTGTTGATAAGCCCTTGTTTGATATGTAGGCCAATGAGGTGGAGATCTTCTTTTACCAATGGTTCAACTGGAGAGATGTTTTTGAAAAATGAGTTTTGATATGATATGCAGGTGTTTGTGAATGCATGCGTGCGAATAAATGTGTACGAATATGCAAGGGGTTAACTGTCCCATTCACTTGGGTATGTATCCTCTTTTGCTTATTATTTTACTTAGCGACTATCTTTAAAATAGATACGCAAACGAGATATGGAAACAAAATTCCTTTATTAAAGGTAACATAATTCAGCTATTGAAAAAATTACAATCTTAAACCAAAACTTTATTTGCATGAAATCAAGCGAAAGGAAATAAGTCTTCTAGGTGTGCCTGCGGATATCTGATCTGGAAGTCATCCACCTTGACCTGACAAAGCCAGGGAAAATCTTTAGCATGTTATTTCCTTTTCGTGGCTTTGATTTCAGACATGTTTGGCGTGTTGACGCGGGTAGGTTGTTCCCTTTGGTATCCATTTTCAAAGACAGTCACCGAGATCTTGATTTTATTTTTATTGGTACCCAATGAATAAGACAAAGAAATGGGTGACGAATATATTATGAAATGTATGATGAATACATGAAATATATGGATGCATAGGTGTGGGGTTGAATGACGGGGTTTTTGTGATAAGCATCCTTAGAAGGTAGGTTCCTTAATTTTGACCTACGATTGATCTACCCTCCCAGAAGGTGGTTTCCTTAAGCGTATCATGAATAACACCAGAGGGAAAAGGCGCAAGGGTCTCCCTTAGGTGAAGCCTCTTTATGGACCGAGACGTCCGTCTCAAAGTCGTGAAAGGTATCGTCATGAGATTTTGGGTTAAGGTCGTTACAAAGAGTCATTGGTGACCTTCCAAAGTCCTACTCGTCAAGAGGATATCTCTCGATAAGTATTCCTTTTTCGGGAGTTCACCGACTCTAGGAAAAGTCGTCACATAAACTAGCAGGGCTGATGTACCCCCTAAGCTAATAGATGAACCTTCTTTCTAAGGGTTATATGGAAAATATTCTGAGATAGAGAAATCTGGCCATGTAGTAAATATATGTGATAATAACAGAAATTGACAGTAGATAAATAAATGCGATAGAATAGATAAATGAAATAAATAAATAAATAAAGAAAATAAAAATAAGAAACCCCAAAAATACCTAAACCTAGGGTTAAGGAGAGTCGCCAGCTGTAGCAACTGGATTTTTAATCAAGAGTCGCCATTATTAGTTTTTATCCTAGGGAAGGGAATCTAACAGAAAACCCTAATTCGCAGACAGAGATTCTAGGATTCGGACTCAATTAAAAGAAAGGAAGGTGTTAGGCACCTTTCATCTACCTTGTTCACAAGGATATTAGGATCTAGGTTTAGGTTTTGGGTAAACAGGATTTAAGTTTTAATTAGAAAGACTCTCCACGATTTTAGATCGTATGCCTACGTATCCTCTTATGAGGAATCAGAGTCCCAATTCGTAGTTCATATGGGTTGGTGTCTTTTAGGGGTTTACAAGCATATTTTGAATCACTTCACATTCAGTCGGAAGTAGTGATTGCGGAGATTTTGACTGAGAACGCAGTAAGACAAAACTAGCTTGAAACCCATTTGCAAAAAAGACAGTTGATTAGCTTAGTTTTATTGCGAAAAATAGTTTGAGATTTGTTTGTGTTTTTTAATAATATTAATTGCAAAAAGTCTTGATTAATGCATGATAAAAATATTTTAATGCAACTAATATATAAGATAATATATGTAATTTTAATATGAAAATAATTTATTTAGAAATATTATAATATATACATATAATAATTTAAAATATAATAAATACTATGAATAATAAATATTATAAAAAAATAATTAATTATAAAAAATAATAATAATAACCATTAAATAATAGAATAAAAAATTTAGAATTATAAGAAAATATAAAAAATATGGTTAAACAAAAGGGGATGAGCAATTTACGTTGACAAGTAAAAGCAAGAGGGTGTTGCTAAGAAACTGGCTGGGTTAGGCCCAGGATGGTCCAGGCAGAGGGGGGGTGAATTTTGTTTTGAACTTTCAGTAACTTAGGAATAAGGGGGTGTGAGTATCAGTTGGGCTGGGCCCAACACGTTTGGGAAGGAGACCAGGGTGATTGTATGTTGCGAGGGTGTATGACAGCTACGGTGAACCTTGTCCTATCGACCGTTTGATGATGATCAAACGAATCTAATTAGAGGGGCAAGCTAGTTACAGTGGGCGCACAGGTATAGGATTAGACGGTTAATAGATTTTTATTTTTACTTTTGTTCATTTTCATTTTCAATTGCATTTCACAGAACACATCTCTTCGTCTTCCTCACTCTCTCAAACCCTTCTTTATCTTCTTCCCCAAATCGCCACAACCCTAGCTCGTTCTGACCTCCGATGGCGGCTGAAACAACCCCCTTCCCCACTGTAACCCCCTAATCAAACCCTCAAATCCAGCGATTAGAAACAATAACAAATAAAAAATCTAAAACTAATTCGTTTACCCTTTGCGATCTAGTCCGTGTTTTCCGACCCCAAGATCTTCATCCGATCCGGCGTTAACCCATTTTCCTCTTCTTGTTTGCAGGTACTAATGAAGCTTTGGTGATGGTGAAGGCGCGACGGAGCAAGGGAGGTGAAGCTTCAGATTGACGGCAGAGCAAGGAAATCGTCTATGGCGGTTAGACGAGGGAGACAACAGTGACGGATTTTTCAACGGCTAGCGATTAGGGTTTCAGTCAGTGAAACTCTAATCGCTCCATCTCCAGAAATCTCCTTTGGTTCTTCCTTGGTCGCATCCTTGTTTTTGCAAAATCTTCTTCTTTCTCCGTTCTCTATAAAAAAACCTCGTCCCTTTCTTCTTCGTCTTCTGTCCCCCTCCCCCCCCCCTTTTTGTACCTTTCTCCTCTTAGTTTATGTAGGTAGTATTTTTAGCTTTTAGGATTAGGGTTTTTAATTTCCTTAGAATTAGAGATTAGACTCTTATTGATTGATTATGTTATACTGTAATTCTGGGCTTGTATTATAGAAATATTTGTATATTTGCAAATTTGCTTTAATTGTAATGAGATGCGATTTCATTTTCTGTATAACATTTTTCCAGATTTGATTTTGTATTAATGTTTCCAAATTTGATTTGATTTCTTTTTAATCCCTACAGTAATTGTTAGTAGATCCTGCGCCAATTCTGCAATAAAATAATAATGGCTATTGTTACAACATGCGTTTTTTTGTTATACCTTGGGCCTGCAATATCGTGGCTGAACTGGGCCTAGATAGTTTGATTCAAATCCACAACAAAACCTTAATAAAATTAATATAATAATTGTTAATTAAAATGATCAAAAGGACTTAATCACCAGTAAAGGATGATGCCAGAAAATACTACTTGCTATACTCTAAAGAATTTTTTTAATAATGATAACAACTTTAGTAATTTTCTTTTAATTACATCAAGGATATTTTAACCAACAAAAATTCAATTTTAAATGCATCAAGTTTTCTTCTAAACAGTATTATTTACTTATATATAAAAAAAAACTATTATAAAGTCTTCTTTTAAAAACAATACTCTTTTTTCAACACATCAAATGGGTCAACCAAATAGACTTAGTTATTGATCAATACACCCCCCCCTTTTTTTACTTATTTAAAAACACTTAAATGTCTCTACTAAATTCAATTATCATTAGTAATTTTTAATAATAATAACTATTTAGTAGTTATTATTCTGAAATAATTTTATACCCTCGAATCGCATGGGTCATTGGCCAACATGCCACGCGAATGGGTTTACGAATGCACGGGTCTTTCTGCCTTAGAAAGCCCCATTTTCGCGAGTTAAAAATACACCCCTAGCCAGATAAAGACGGAACACCAGATACTGTTGTACCGTCTTTAATTAAGTATTTTCTAAAAAAATATAATCGTCGCGGTAGGACAAATTTGGGGTACGACAATAGGCCGATAGAAATGCGCCCTGGACCAATACTTCAAATAATACCCTCTGCAAGAGCGTACACTTCCTATTGGGGCTAGAGTTGACCAGAAGGCCAGATGAGCCTCAAAAGTGATGAGTTTCACCAATATGAAACACTCTATAAAATCAACCCAATCATAGACAAAATAGTTGAACTATGTTACTTGAGGATGAAGGGAGATCAATCCTTGATCCCGAGCATCATCCATCGAAGTACGAGACACATAGAAAAGGTCAAGACAAATTCTTAATGATGAAGGTCTCCAAGACTTGTACCCAACACAAAGCTGGAACACCTTCATGAAAGCCTAAGCTCCAGGATGAAGTTATGATGGGAAACTTTTAGATGGTTTATAATTCTCTCCTTCAAATCAGATAAAGGCAGGCATATCCTCAACCCGAGGAAGAGATACTCGTATATAAGAACCGAATAACCCTATAAAGAGTTGTATATCTTCTCATCTGGAGCTATTGGAAGAATCTCCCAATCTAGGGGATTTCTAATCGTGATGATGACTTTAGTTACAACATCGACAATATTCAAAATAGAAGGAGTCTCAACTATTTCGGTGGCCACCCAATGGTATATATTAGCATGGGCCAACTCTATTAATAGAAGACCCTTATAGGCCAATATGTCAGCTCTACGATAGTCATCGAGACTGGCCCAGGATACGACACCATGTTGCTCCTGGAACTCCATATGATAAGCAATTTCAACATCACTAAGGTCATAACCAGTCACTTCCCAATATGTTTTGACAAAGCGACCAATATGTTCCCTCTATTGATGGGTAACCTTTATTCCTGCCTCAGCCAAGACATGAGGAGGTATAGGTCTCTCAATAAGATTTTCACACCCGTTAGGATTCTCCAGAATCAGGGTCTCTCAAGAACCCCCAGAAAGAATTTTTTCTGAAAGAGATTCTCTAGATGACCCTTCCATTTTCAGATCATCACTCAAATAATGACTTCTGATTCAAAATACCCACTAACAGATGAGGAGGAATGTAATCCAGGCTTTACTCCCATTTTCGAAGACGAAGAAAATCTACCCTTCAAGTCACTCTCGATGATAATAGGGTTACCATTCATCGTATTAAAAATGAAATAATTACTTAAGTAAAAGTTGAGGTGAAGAGAAGGTACCTTGAAATATGAGGCGAAATTACTGAAGTAAAGAAGAGGGATGAAATGTCGGAGCTTTAATTGAAATTATGAACGTGCTATGATAATTACTCTTAAAGAGAAATCATCTCAAATAAGAGGGAAGGACTTAAATAAATGAGGGGAACTTAATCTACAAGATAGATAAAAGGTTACTCCATGATCTTTCTCCATCTATATATAAACAAAGGAAATCGAACAGGTCAAATGGAAAGTAGGAAAAAAGATAACTCATTTGAGGAAGACAACCATACTCAAGTGTACTCGAGTACATGAAAAGGTGTGTCAAATCACCCCATACCTTTTTCAGGTAAAACATAAAAGAAAAACGGTAAAACATTTCAATAATAGAATTGCATTTAATGCTTCACGCTGAGGCAAAACCAACATGGTGTATGCCATTTGATGTAACATTATATCTCCTCAGCGACAATTTAATGAAAAATCAGAGTAAATTAATTCATAAAAGAAACATCAAGAATAGGATGCCATATTTTTCAACACATAAAAAATATGCTCAAGTATAAATAAACAGATGCATAACACATTTTACAGATGAACCGATAACACTTTTCAACATAGTTCCCAATTTCAAATTTATTAATGCAGCAGAAATAATTCAAGTTTGTTATTAAAACTTCCTCAATCAACATCAAGCAACATTTAACCAAACAAAAGGGAGTTCACAATACTTCAACATAATCACCAAGATAAAACAACGAAAATAACAAAATAAGCAACCGTTCATCCCCCCCGATGTTACGTATCAGAGCACTGACGCCGATTCAAAAATAAGAAGAGCAACTTCTTCTTGAATCCGCAACTCAGACTACTCTTAGTTACCTGCATGTTACCCATGTAGAGGCAACATTCAAAAAAAAGGGGTGAGATATCACAATAATATAATAAGTTATATAATCATAAGTATACGACAGATATATTATGCAAGATTTCAAGATCAACAATCATCAGTTACATCAACAATTCATTCAAAATTCAATGCAACTAACACCGATTCATGATGCATAAAGTACCATAACATGTTTTCCACTCGTACACATTCTCAAAATTTATCATGTTCAATTATCATGAGTACTCCTCAATCTATCTGACACTAACACCGAAGGCATAATCCTCCAACCTTAAATAATTCACCTACTGTTATTAAAGTTATTATAATATTGTAGAAAATATTGTTAGCTTTCCAACGATCTAAACAGCGCGTCAAACGGACTCCCGAGTCAAAAGTTATTAATTTTCAAAGTTTGTAAAAATCTGTCAGCTTCAGTGGTAACCAGTTACTGCATATGGGGTAACCGATTACACCCCCGAAACTAAAAAGTACAAGCTATTGTCCTGTTAGGTAATCGTTTACCACATATGCAGTAACTGATTACACCTTCACGTTTTTCCCAATTTTCCCCAAAATTACACAAGTTACCGGTTCCCATATGTTGTACCCGGTTACACTGCGTACAGAGTAAAAAATCTGCTATTTTTCCTACTACGAAATTTTAACCTTTTTCACCCAAAATAACTTTTATACACACAGTGAAACATATAAATTCATGTGATCATCAACACACATTATACACAACAATTCTAATCAGATCATTACATCAATTTCACCAACTTCAATCAATTATAACAATTATTTTAACAAAATCATCTACACCCAAAACCCTAACATTCATATCTTCATCTATGCACGATTATACCACCTATTAGAGAGTTGGAACGCCACCCTTACCTTAGGCTGTAGATTCCTCAAGCTTCAACAATGGGTCGTCCATTCATAGCTTTTCCTCTTTCTCGCTTCTACCTTTCTCTCATTTTCATGATCGACCAAAACAACTTTCTCTTTTATTCCTCTTGTTTTGACCTATCTATTCCTTGGACCCCTAAATCACTATTCCAATCACACCTTTTCCTTATTACTAGAATAACTTATTTAATTATTATACTATAATAATAAGTCTAATATTATAAATATAATTGTGATACGGTGGCAGAATCGACTGTTTAATACTGGTTTGCATTTTGCGTTTTTTTTCCGTAAAATGTCGCGGCAAGCAAGACTTGCCACCGACTTTTATTTCATCCAATCATGGAAAAGGGAAAAGAACAGAAAAAACATTTTTTCGAGATATTCTGAGTACGGGGAGAAGATTATAGCAAGGGAAGGTGTTAGCACCCTTTCTATCCGTAGTTATCTACGGGCTCTTAGGTACTTACTCATTTTTTTCAAATTGCTTGTGTGTGTTTGTCTTGAAAATGTTTACTTCGTGATAACCCTTGTATCGGTCCTCAAGGATGTGACGAAGTTTGTTTTGAAAATCTGTTTTGATAGGTGTTTGTGTGAAAAGTTTTCATTGACAAGTATTTAAGATTCTACCTACTCGAAAAAAGATTGTTTGTTCTCATTTCCTTTAGACAGTGCTATCCTACTATTAAGGAGTAGGTAGCACCGTCGTTGGAGTTGTAAGGGACAATCGAAAGGGACGAGTACAATCACCAAAGCAATAGTTAGAAAACTTTAGTAGTAACCCTAGAGTCTTAAGATCTTTCCGAGGCAACATTTCCGAGGCAACATTCGAATGGGACACTTTGATCTCTTTAGACTGGAGGGCAACCACTAAAATCTCCTATGCTTAATGATTGTTTACTGAAGGCAACCGAAGTGAGGCAAACCCTAGGAGTTAATATGTGCATATGATTTGTTTCCGTTATTTAATCTTTGCACATTAGGTGATCTACTATTTTAATTTTCCAGACATTTTTGCCATACAATCCTATTAGCCATACATCTAGACAGTTAAAGAGTATGGAAATTAAAAGTGCGAGGAAGTAAAACCTAGCTATTACAAGGCTTCGGGGATGGGGATTAATTACAAAACCAAAAATCGGGGATTTAAACGGTAAAATAAAACCCTAAGTTAACTATTACAAACCTTGAACAGTTACAAAATAATGGCAAAAATAATTAACAAGCGCACGACAAATAAAATGCGAGGACGATTGAAATAATTTAAAACCCTAATTTGAGAGAAAAAGATTTTTTTGGATTTTATCTGAGAAAATATTTAATTTCAAATTAATTAAACCTAATTTCTAATTGTTTTTAAATTATGAAAGAAATTAAATTAACCTGATTTTCTAATTAACCTAATTAATTAAAGAAATAAATATTTATGAAAAAAATGATTTTTTGATGTATTTTTTAAAGAAAATTAATTAAATTACGTACAATCTAAAACCCTAATTATAATTGTTTTTCATTATAAAAAAAACTTAAATTGCCCTAAATTAACTAAACTAATTAATTCAAAAAAAATATTTATTAAGAAAAAAGAGATCTTTTTTTGTGATTTTTGATTGGTTAATTTAATAAAAATAATTTTTGTATTAATTAAAAAAAGAAAAGAAATAAAGAAAGGAAATTAAAGAAAATAATAAAAGATAACCAAATGGGCTTGTGATGGCTAAGAGGGGGGATGAAGCTGAAATTCCAAGGCCCATTAAGCTCCAAGCCTAGTTAACCTTTGGATCCGACGTAGCGTTGACTTGTACGTGTACCATGGACATTCATGGCTGGAAGCGTTGGATCTGGATAGAAGTGCATCCAATGTCAGGAACTGCTAGCGCATAGTGGATGGTGAAGAGCATGGTATACCTGATTACATTAGAAAAAATAATACAAAGCAATTATTGGGACCTGGGATCGAACCCAGGTCCTTGTACTCCTTACCAACGATGCATTGCTAACTGAGCTGCGTTGTTAACTTATTTGTACAAGGAGAACAAAATATAATAAATAAAATAATGCAGTAAACTCAAAAAAGCGTGTAAATTTCAAATGAGCCAATGATGGACTGCCACATACTACCTTCTTCGCTGCAACCGTCGTATTAGGTGAAGAACTTTTACCTACAGACACAAGTCTGTAGCTATAACCCCTGCAAATTTCAAAAATGCACAAAACACACAATAAATGATATCTAAAGACATAGCTTCATTCATGGTGATCTCGTGAACACCTTGGTATCCTCTTTTTTGGCTGATTTCACCTGTGTAAGACAACCCTTAATTGCAAACATAAACCCTAACAATGGCAACATCGTGTATAGGCTTAAAAAACACAATTGAATAATACAGTTAGCTTGCAAACAAGATGATAAACACAAGTATATGATTATCATGCGTTTAGGATGCGTAAAACATTGAAATCGAGTTTGAGTTTTAGGGCAAACCGTGATGCTTTTTGGGATGATTTATGGATGCTTTGAGGCTTGTAAATGATGCTGTTAGCTTACTGTGATGTCCAAGAATCGATTGGAAACGTTGGACTGGCTTGAATTGGCATGTAGACAAAGATAGGTCTCACACTTTTCTTGCAAAATTTTGGTTTCTTTCATGTTGTTTCACGCCTCCAATCCTTGTGTTTTTCATCTGCAATTGTTATGCACTTATAGTAGACTGAATTAGGTCAAAAAAATTGTATCATATCTTTGAGAATTATGAAAATTGGATTTGATTTGCTTCATGTATTATATCTTTCTAAAGCAAGCTTTAATCCAATCTTTTCCAACCCTAATGAGCCTTGCACGAATTGATCATCATGCTAGCTGTATATGGATTCCAAATGTGCATAAAAATCCCAAGATTTGATTTGTTTTCATTATTTTACCATTTAATTTGATTTATTTTGATTTAAATGAATAAAAAATCAAAATAAATGATAAAAGTAATAAAATAATAGGTGGAAAGACTCAACGGTCGTGGGTCCTATTAGAAACATGTTTCAAGCAAGAAAACATGGGCCCCTTTGGAAAAAAATGCAAATTTGATCAATGTTGACTTTTGACAATTTTCCAAAAATTGCCAACTTTGACAATGCACAACTCTCTCAATTTTGACCCTAGGAGGGT